CGGATGTGAAGCGGGGCGGTGGGGAGAGGCGATTTGCTGCCTCCTGAAGAGTGGGAATCGTGGGAGCTCGGCGTTTTGTTTCATTCCTAGCGATCTGAACAAGTTTATTTCAGATGCGGTGGTTCTTATAATCCTGAAAGGGGTGGTGCAGCTAGACCTTGGGCCTTGGAATCTGGTGCGGGAAGGGGTCGTGCAGAACACAGCAGTGAGGTTTGAAGAGATTGGCGTTGTTAATCAATGCTGTGGTGGAATCCAATTCTGTTTAGGACCCGCACTTGCATCAGGAGCCATGTGGTCAGCAGATGAAATTGCTGAACTGTGTTACCTGCACTATAGGACCAGACTTCCTAAGCAGGGGAAACCAGATCCAAACAGGGAATGGACTGCACTGGCAGCTGTTGTCAAAGTGGAGTCTGCAGCCCAAGGAGAGGTTCTTGCTAGTCCAGGGAATCTGCAGGGTAAGAATGAGTTATGGGGGTGAGGGGTGGCGGTCCTTCCTGGAATTTTTTGGTTTTTTTTAGGTTGTTGTTTTTCCCCAGGATGCCCTTTAAAAAAAAAAAAAACACCCACCATACATCACTTCCTGTCCTGTTTCTGCTTCTACCCAAACTGTTTACTCTTTGTGATTGTAAAGCTTTTCCAGCTTCTGTCTGGAAAGAGATGGTTATAGTGAAGTGCTGTTCTTCTCGGACTGTAACTAAAGAAGGTGAAAGCCTCTATTTGGCTGTTCAGTAAGTGGCAAAAGTCTAGGCAGGCTCTGATGTAGACCCTTGCAAAAGTATATCCGGCTCCTATTTGAAAGAATCCTAGAGAGGTCTCAGTTTTCTGTCCTTTAACAGGCTGCATTATTACTCTTTGCATTTGTGTCAGTTCACCATCCTCTTTTCCCTTACTGGCACTTCCATGTTATGCAGATTGTATCCCGTGCCTCTTTCTTCTGGCTTTGAGGAATTCTTTGCCAGTGTCCACTGTGTGTTGCCTAGCATATTAAGCCTCTGTTAGCATGCCTGCTATGGGATCATAGACTTTTCCTAGCACGAGTGTTTCTGCCTGGTATGCTCAGCTCTCCAGATGATAGTTTTCTTTCTGAATGTCACATGGCCTGCCTCCATGCACCTTCCCCTCTACGCAGTGTTCTGTGCCTTGTTTTACCAGAATGACTGCGTGAGAGCACTGCTTTTGACAATAGTTTGTTCAGTGAATGTTTCTTTTTTCAGAAACGAAGGAAGTTGTTGCGATGGGAACTGGAACAAAATGTATTGGCCAAAACAAAATGAGAAAAACAGGTAAGTATAGTGTAAAATCCAAGAACAGGTTACTTGTGCTACCTTCATTCTTGTTGGTGTCCTAGAATCAATGACAATGTCCAAGCCATTGAGCTCAGGCTTACGAATTGAAGCTAGAAGTGTAAGGCAGAATGGCTGCCTTGAGTTTGCTGCTTTAAAGGTGAACAAACTTTTTATATGGAGAAACGTATAATTTAGACCCTGAGTCTGCATACTCGAGGACTTAGCCAAAAGCAAAACAAAACAAACAAAATCATTGTGCTGTCACCTGTTACAGTCTAATTTTATTGTGGTCTGATGCCAAAGGCAGCACTGCTGAGTGAGGGTAGGTGTAGTGCCAGAGAGGTAGTACCAGGGCTTTTCTCCCTCCTCATACAGTCAGCAGCTAGACAGCTCTAAGTGTTCGTGCGATAAATGTGCAGGATGGTAGTCATGGGAAGTCACATGTTTATTTCTTACCACTTATTGTAGGACTTAACCTTGCTTTGCATATCTGTTTTTTAAATTCAGAATATATCTATCACCTCTCCTAGGAGGAGGAGGAAGCCATAGAAATTCATGCTGAAAAGTGACTAAGGAGGAAAAGTGCAAATATGGAGGTGGAAGGCTTTCAAGTCTAGAAGATATTTTCTTCTTATTTAATGTTAATTTATTTTTAAATTAACTTTGTTATGTTAGGGAACTTATAAACTTTACAAGTTTGAGTACTGTTAAGGGGAACTTCTATCACCTGGCCTCTTATTCCTGAAATAAAAGTTGAGCTACAGATCCTGTTCCTTTAGATAGTGCAATAGGCAGAACTGCAGGAAGTTTGAGGTTTAAATCTGGTAAATGTCAGCATTGTTTACAAGAAAAACTATTGAAATTGTAGGACATAGTGCAACAAGAAACTTCGACCAAAAGCATGACAAACACTTTAAATGTTCTGGATGTTGTGCTTAATCTGAGAATTCAAAATTTACTACTAAGGACAAACATCAGGAAGATTTTGAAGGAAGCCAGTGTTTATTCAACTGAAAGGATTTCAGATATTAGAAGAGTTAAAATTTGGCATTTAAACAAATCTCTGACTTGCCATGGAGTGAAGACTTTTATCCTTGATTTGTGTAGACTATTGACCTCCTTTTGTAGTGATTGGAAGTTTATATATCTTGCAGTAGACTAATACTAATGTTAAACCTTCAAATGTTAACAAATCCGGAGAATTGTCATCTGTGAAATTTCATCTGCTTTATAACTCTCCTCTTCAGTAATGATGTGTCTTGTTCTCATTTGTTGCTTTAGGAGACATTCTGAATGACAGTCATGCTGAAATTGTGGCCAAGAGGAGCTTCCAGAGGTGAGGCGTGAAGTTCATGTGCTGTTATTCAGTGCCACTTGAGGTTGGTGGTTGTGATAGAAATGGTTTTGAGCTATAGCTGAAATAGCCAGCTTCAGAGGTGAGAATGTAGTGAAAGAGACAATATTAATTTTGTGTAGGCAACATTTTTTTTCCCTTTATTAGTAGAAATTTAACCTGATTTTTACACTTACATGGGGTGTTAAGGCCCTTTCACAAAAGCTAGTTTCTTCATTATTGTAGTGCCTCTGTGCAAAGAACTCGGATCTGACTTCATGTCATGTCAGTGCTACTCTGATGACTAGCTGTCAGGTGTAGCCTTTATGCTGTTCCCCAAATACCTGTCCTATTGTTCACATGGGATAAACTGATTTAAGGAACTGAGCCAGGAGAATAGTAATGCTACAGAAATGAATACATTTCTTGCAGTTTGACACCACTAAATTGACTCTTACAGAATGGGTAAGTTGTAGTGCTGGTAAAAATACAGGATAGGAGGTAGGGACCTTAGGCATACAATTTGGGGAAGTAAACTCCACTGAATTCAGCCCTTTAAGGTCTGTTATTAAGGACCCAGTGATGTATTTCTGTTATGCATTATGTTTGATCTGATCTACTTGTTGAAGCGTAATTGATTGGCTCACCGTAGACTTCATCAGGAAAGAGCAGGCACTAGTGGGCATCTAATTTTTGTTTTCCCATGCATCAAAAATAAAATAAATGTTTCTTGAAAACTTTGTTTAACAGGTATCTTCTCCACCAGATGTGGCTGGCAGCTTCCCATCAGCAATGCAGTATCTTTATTCCGGGAACTGAAACTGGGAAATGGAAACTCAAACCAAATACCACATTTGTTTTCTTCTCCAGTCATACCCCATGTGAGTATGCTGGAGTGAACCAATTTCATGGCTCCCACTGGTAGAATGTTTTTTGCCCCTTGCCTTTCTTTGGGCTCTTTTTGGCCCTGAGTGAGAGTGGGGCAGTAACTCATGTTTTCACTATGTGCCCTAAGATGTATTTGAGTGGTCTTCCACAGATATATTTGATGTTTTATCTCACTGGCTGTGGTTCATGAGAACTGGGTGGATTTGATACACTGATGGTTACACAGTGGAACACCTCACTTTCTCTTCAAACAACGGCTACTGTTTCTTATCCAGAAACTAACACACTTGTCAGAGGTTTGGTCATACCTCCTAGCTGCTTTGCTTTAGTAATTGTCTCCTTGGATTCGAATTTTAATAAAAAATATTGACATTTACTATGTCCCTAAACACAAACACAAAAAACAAACACCGCCCCCCCCCGCAAAAAAAAAAAGGCAACCAAACAAAAAACAAACTTTAAAAACCTAGCCACACACAAAAACCAAAACTGCCCAACAGACAAAGACCAAACCAAAATGGAGGGGGAAAAAAAAGCCCAAACACCTTCCCCCTGCAACCAAATCAAACTCCCCCCAAAACTACCAAAAAAAGCCCCTCTCTCAAAAACACCTTCCTGTGCCACAAGCCAAAAATTCTTCTGGAATGGAATGTAACTTTTTGTTTTGTCATGGAAAATGTAGGAGTGTGACCTCTCTGTCTACCAGCTTAGATGTTACCGTGTTTTTACCAGCATATTTGTCAACTGCTACTCTGCTACGAGGGCAAAGAAGTCTAAGCACTCTAAAATACACCTCATCAGTACATAGCGAATTATTTGTTTATACATTTTCACAATTTTGATGGCAGTGCTGGAATATGCTATGATGGTTTTCTTTGTTAATGCAGTGTGAGAATGGAATCTGCTTCTTCAAATTATAGAAGAATGATTTCCTGATGGCTTTTTTCTCGCTTGCTTGTGAGGCTTTGTTTGCTTTGACCATCAGAATTTTAGTTTTGAGCTTGTTTTAGTGATACATATTAAAATTTCCATCCTTATTTGATAGGTTATTCTTTCGAGTTTTGTATTGTTTAGTTAGATCAGGTTACTTTTCCTTGTGAGTCATCAGCACACCTTGTAGTCTTGTCAGATGCCTTTGACACCTTTTTGCTTTATAGTTTTTGTTTTCAGGCTTGCCCTGTTTTTTTTTTTATTATTTCCTAGGTAGAAAACAAAACTTACACATATATTGGCTCAAATTTCAGCAAAGTCTGATCACCTCACAGGGCAGTGTTTGAAACGTAGCTTCTCGTAGTTGAGTTCTCTTGACTGCAAATCTGTGAAGGCTAGTAGTAGTCATAATTACTAGTGTGATGTGTTCCAGTCATGAGAGATGTGGTTTTGGCCAATTTTGATGTTATTACTTTTGTTCTAGGTGGAGATGCTTCTATTATTCCAATTAGTGAACCAGAGAATCAGCTTTCTGAGGCAGTGGCTGAGGATGAAGCAGCTGGACGATCAGCAGAGTGTAGAAGTAACCATGGTTGTTTGAGTCCAGCAGATAAAAGGAGACGGGAGAAAACTACAAGTAGTCACATAAGGAAGCGAATGAGAACTGACGATGATGCTCATCTTTCCATAACCACGGGAGACCTGGCCGTTCAACAAGTATCTTTGAAACAAGAATGTGACACAAACCCAGAGACCTGTGAATGTGCTGCAGAGGTTCAAACAGCTAATGAGACTGGGTTAGGGAGATCAAAGGTAGTAGATGTTTATAGAACTGGAGCAAAATGCATACCTGGAGAGCTGGGTGATACCCGAATGCCTGGTCTGGGCTACCACTGTGTGGGGTTATTACGAGTGAAGCCGGGTCGTGGGGACAGAACCTGCTCTATGTCCTGCAGTGATAAACTGGCTCGGTGGAATGTCTTAGGATGTCAAGGAGCTCTTCTGATGCATCTCCTGCAGTATCCAGTGTATTTGTCAGCAGTTATAGTGGGGAAGTGTCCATACAGCCACGAAGCTATGCAGAGAGCAATTATTGAAAGGTGAGCGTTCTCCTTTGGAGACCAGACAGCATGTGCACACAGTGGCTTACACAGATAGCATATCACACAGATACCAGGGCATTACACCACAATCATTTGCAGAAATGTGGATTTCTGCAAATTCACATTTTCAAAAAGTTGTCCTGTGTAATATGGAGAGAATGTGACTGCTACTGATGGTTCAGGCTTGAAGATTCAGGGTCTTCATGGTTGTATCTTCACAAAGCAGTGATGAGCTGTTACCCACCTGAGTTTTTCTAGAAGCCTTCCAGCAGAAAAAGCAGCCAGAACGACACAAATTCAGCATAGCAAAGCTTTTTAGCATAGCCAAGTTGAGCTTTTCTTCCCCTCATCCTGATTTTATTTCCTCAAACAGGGTCAAGAAGAGTTTTAATTTATTCAGTTATTCAAGAAAATTTTAAATTTATTCAGATACCCATACTTCAAAAAGTCATTTTGATTGTGTGTAAGTTTACTTTTATAGAATTGTGTTGGTGAGCAAAAGCAGCTTTTATTTCTTGCAGCACCATTCCTAAAATAAAATTTAGAAGCCACCAAATCCATCCTAAAGGCAATCTGACTGAAATGACTCCGGATGAATTAATAAGCAGACTTCAGCGCTGTGGAAAGGGTATCTTTCTGGTTGTCCTTACAAACATTCTTATAACTTAGTCTTAAATGAACTTGGTTTTTCTAAAGCTTTTGATGATCTTAGACTCTGTTTTCAGATTTACTTTTGAGAAACTAAAAGATTCAGTATTTCAAATTTTAATATATAATAAGTATTTTAGAGAGCGGAGGGAAAGGAAAGCAAGAAAGAAACTGGGGAGCTGAACCACTCTCATTAGGAGGCAATTAGTAGACCAGTTTTTCTGAAAGGTTTGACTTTGTTTAGTAACTCCTTTTCTTCATAGTCTTGCATCCTTCTAGGATGGTTATAAAAGAAGTCATATTATATTAATAGGGGAAACTCTAGCTACCTATCCACTTGAGCTTAGTGGTTAACCCTTTCCTCATTCTGTAACACACGGGACAAGAATTTGCCTGGCCTCATTAGTCTTAGGTTGCAGAGTCAGGCACTTTATCAGGCTGTTACTATCTGACAACGTGAACCTTGATCTTAATTAATTCCTGCTCTGTGTAAATATTATGATTAAACGTGCCATTTTTTCGTCCTCATACGATCCTAATCACATCTAGTGTGTAATGGCAATTTGGGGGAACAAAGATGAGATTAGATGTGGAACTGTAAGTATATTTTGTTTATTTCTAGTCTTTGATTATGAACCTTCGGGTTCGTAAAACAGTTGTTATTGTAGTAGTGTTGTCTATATAAATACTGTATTATCTTTTGTTGTGATTGCAGAATTATATTGCAGATTTTAACCTGCATACTTGATCTTCATCAATTATACTGTTTTTTAACTAGACTGGTTTCAAAATCAATTAATTCTAGTTTTTCTAGGATGGACAAGGTCTTAATAAATTATGTGGCTTTGCTCTTTTAACAAATACTTTTTTGAAGGGAAAAATGCCCCCAAACATCTTTGTCTTCTGTATCTCATGTTTGATTCAGTTTTATTGTAGAAGTAACAGACTTTTAGACTATGGATGCAAAGCACAAAGGTGGCTCGTTTGGGAAGATCAGGCTTAAAATCACTTGCATTTTTATGTGTTTTCTTTAGGTGTCAACACATCTCATCTTTACCAGATGGTTTTTTCACTCAGGAGGTTAAGCTGCTGCAATCTGATCTTCGATTTGAACACAGCCGTCAGGCAATTCAGGAAGTTCAAGCTAGCAGCAAAACGAAACTTGTTCCTTGTAGTGCAGGTGAGTTAACCTTGGCTAGCTGCATAACTGTGTACAAAGTCCAAACAGAAATTAGATGATTTGCCGACTTCCTAGAATGGAACATCGTTAATTGCCAGTGCTAGAGGCAAAGCATGACTTACAGCAAGAAATTTATTTCTTGCCAGGACTTAATTGTTAATAATTAATAATACTCGGTTCAGCCTCTGGTTCTCTGTAGGGGTTTTCACACTGAATAAACACTTGATTGATGCCATTAAGAATTTATAATCTAAACAAAAGCAGAAAATAACAAGTGAAAGCAAACGTTCTGAGGGCAATAAGAAAACAAAGAAATCAAAAGAAATCAAAGAAAACAAAAGACTTCTTGTTTCACTTGGTTTTGTATTCTCTTTGGTAATGAACAGAAGACTTGCCATGTTGAGTTATGCTTGTAAATGCTCCAGAAATCTGTGAATGCAGAGTGAATACAGAGTAGTTAAGTGTAAGGGTTTAATTGACAGAGACTTTGGACCATGTGTTTTTTTTTGTCATGGTGATGAATGAACGTGCAAATCATGTTATGATTTAGCAATGTGATCTTATTTCGGGGAAAAAAAAAGGAACTCCCACTGCATGTGTATGGTTGACCTGTTTCTTTAAAGTTGGACATGCCTACCTTCTGCTGTTGCATACTTTTATGGCTTAATGGGAACTGGAAGTTATTCTGTTATGATAGAGCTGATGATAAAATAGAATAGAAACAAAGGGTTTCTTACTGGAATTTGTTAAATTGGAGTTATCTACAGGTGCCAGGAAGGAAAAGATTTTGATTCTGAGAGATAGGAGACAAAGTCGATCATTGAAAAATGCTGCCAGTTCACATTGCAAAGAGGCTCTGAAGTGGACTGTTACTGAATTCCTGCATGTGCAGTAACTCAGGTTGCTGTTAAAGAAAGGTGGAGGCTGTTTTATCATGCTTATTTGCATATATAAATGATACCAGGTTGATTTTTTTTTTTTCCTTGGAGGGCTGAAAATCAGAATCAATCCAGGGCTGCTATGCTGAGTATTGAAATGTGCTTGATAGGAGCATTTCAGGTGGTGTTTTTAAAAAGAACAGTATGTTCCATTTACTATTTTGACATTTGCGATAATTGTGAAGAAAATAAAGAACAGAAAGTGTTTCCATTTTTATGTAAATTTTTATCTGCTTGTCAGAATCTCATGTGCTCTGACCAGGTGGTTTTAGATATTCCACTTGTGGAGAGTTTAATACCGGTTGTACATATTTAATGTTGTTTGACATTATACAGGATTTTAACTTAGTAGAGTAATTCAGCATTGTGCCTAAGTCATAATGCAGATAGAATTTACATCTAGTAGAGTATGGCAATTGCAGCATACATTTGAATCATAATGCAGGTGTGTTTAACCTAACCAGCTTCCATAATATGCTTTATCATGTATGTTTTGAGCATTTTGAACAGCAAGATGGTATTGTGAAGAAGAGAAGCTGTGAAAATTGTCTTTAGAGTTAATGTATGTGCAGCTGTTTTAACCTTAGGAACACAGAGAAATGGGAGAATTTGGGAACAAAAATTGTCTCAAGGAAGTGGAAGGTAAAAAAACTGTTGTTAGGCTATAGAAGGGCAGATTTGGCCTGCTAGTCAGTTTTGTTTCTAAGGTATGATATGCAGAGTTTCAGCATTAATAAGTTTACAGTCTAAGATGGCAATAAGGTTACCAGAATGAGGGTAAAGGACAAGGCTGCTGGCACTTACTATCTCTTCCAACAAACCAATTTTTTTCACTACTGGCTAATAACGTTCTTCAAATGTTATTAATTATATTAATAACAAATTATCATTAATTAAATGATCTTTAGGAAGATCATGGAGCAGATCCATCCTCCTAGAAGAAATGCTGAGGCA